ACACACACACACACACACACACACACACACACACACACACACACACACACACACACACACACACACACACACACACACACACACACACACACACACACACACACACACACACAACGTGTCTGACACACATCGTGCTGATCTTTCGCTTCGCTGGTTTATTGGCAGTTTCTCCGTTCCTTGCGCTCACGTTGAGTGCTTTCGTGTCGTCGAAGCCTCTAGCAGAGACGCAAAAACCCACGATTTATCAAGCGCACTTGTCTGCATTAGGAAAGACGGCGTTTGCACATATGTACATATGTATATATATGTACATATGTGTGTATCTTTGAGCACTTTCGCGTCGCCTGGACAACCTCCTGTAGCGCCTAAAGGGAAATGTAACGATGATATTAACAAACACGTTTTCAATTCCTGATCCGCTGCTAGAAAGGTAACTACAAAGAGGTAACCGCAGGCGACGGTGGAGGGGTAACCATGGGTGGAAGCGTGAACGCTAGCTTTCAATGAAGCCACACGAATGAGCCACGGTATGATGGTATTATACAGAGTAATTCTTCAGTTCGTTTAGTCGCCGCGTGACTGATCGCGCGCGGGGGCAGTGCGCGCGACTCCTCTCTACGAAGTTAATTCTGCCGATACATATCGGATGCGAGTAGCGCGTGCGTGTGCAGCCTCCCGCCAGAAGGAACTCCTTCCGAAGAGAAGTCATTTCCGCTTCCTCTCTGCGGAGGTGAATGATCGATACTTGGCAATAATCGCCCGCGCATTTCTTCTCGTTTCGTGTGATACAGGCACGACCCCTATGTGACCTTCAATGGCTTCAAGCCTTCAATGGCTACAGAAAAGCGGCACGTTCTGTAAGAGCACCTATGTTATCATTCTACATAGGATTTGCTCGTTCATGCATATCATTTACTGCACGCTTCATCACTGCACGCACACACACGCACGCACGCACGCATACACGCACGCACGCACACACACTCGCACGCACGCACGCACACACACACACACACGCACGCACGCACGCACGCACGCATGCACGCACACACGCACGCACACACACACGCACGCACGCACGCACACACACACACACGCACGCACACACGCACGCACGCACCCACGCACGCACCCACGCACGCACACACGCACACACGCACACCCGCACACACACACACCCACGCGCGCGCGCACGCATAGCACATGAACTTGTAGCTCAACAATAGCGACAAACCCCGGTTGCGCATACCCGATATGTACTCAAAATATAATCCATTAACAATCGCTCCTTAAATAACTGGGTGAATGAGATGACAGACACATCACATCAGCGTGTATTGTCATGAGAGTGATTAACACATATTGTGTTCGTATGGAATAGGAAACGCGAGCGCGTTTGGAACGCGAATGCCCGCAGGAGAGCGAAGAGGAGAACGCGTGTGCCGAACAGATGGATACACCTGAATGGAAGCTGAATATATATATATATAAGTTGACGAACACTTGTATGTGTCTGACGGTGAAAAGTGCGGCTGCGGTTACAATGCTTGCAAGAAACCGACTACGTCATCAATCACTGATGCACTGAACATCTGCTTGCGNGTGGAACAGCCGCACACACGCGTGCGCGGACACACACACACACACACACACACACACACACACACACACACACACACACACACACACACACACACACACACACACACACGCATACACAAGCACACAAACACAAACACACCACACGCTCACACAAATTTGTTCGCATTGTTTCAGCTTTTCTCCGCTGAGCGTCGCGTCATGCTAACGCCGACGTCGCGCTAGCCCCACGCGTCGCCCCGACGCCGCCGCCACCGACGCCGCCGCCGCCACCGACCCCGCCGCCGCCGCCGCCGACGACGACGACGACAAGATGAGCATGTTTCCGGACATCGGCAGCTTTCCGTCGGAGATCAACATCAACGAATGGCTTCAGTTCCTCAATGTGAGCGCCAACGTGACCTTGGATGAGCCGACGTCGCCGACAGAGGTCGCCCCGCGACAGCAGACGCCCATCAGCAACGTGGAGATAGCTCTCGAGCATCTCAACCAGTTCTACATCCCGCTGATCGTCTTCGTCGGGTTGCTAGGCAACTCGCTGTCCGTCATCGTTTTCTTCATGACGAAGCTGCGAGCGATGTCGTCGTCCTACTACCTGGCGGCGCTGGCTACGGCCGACAGTGGTCTCCTCGTCGCTCTGTTCGTCGTCTGGTTGAACAGCCTGGACGTGAACTCGTTTAACCGCAGCGGTATGTGTCAGCTGATCGTGTACGCGACGCTTGTCTTCAGCTTCCTTTCCGTGTGGCTCGTCGTCGCTTTCACCGTCGAACGTTTCATCGCCGTCACCTACCCACTGCACCGGCCGACGATGTGCACCGTCCGACGCGCCAAGTTCACCGTCGGCGGACTGACGGCGTTCGCGATGCTGCAGTACACGTACGTGTTCGCGACGACCGGGGTCGTGCAGACGAACACGGGCGCCGTGTGCGCCCTCTACCCGCAGTACATGACGGCGATGACAGTGTTGAACAACATCGACACTGTGACGACACTCATCTGTCCTTTCATCGTCATCGTCACGATGAACGTCACCATCGCGAGGAAGGTGATCGACTTCTACCGACGCCGCGCGTCGCTCAACGCCGCCGTGTCGCAAGATAGCGCCACTAACCCCGCCACCGGCCGCTCGTACATGTACATGCGCCCTCTGGCGTCGAGCGGCGGGTTGCGGCTGAACTCTAATTCGAGTTCCCGCACTCCGCCGCTTCCCCGTCTCCACGGCGTCGGCAACGGTCAGCAGTGCGACACGGCGCTCAGCTACGGCTACCGGCCGACGTCGCCAGCGCGCACCAGCAGCGCCCCCTACCCGGTGGTGAGAAGCCATCGCGACAGTCTGCGCACGCGCAATCAGATTCGGATCACGAAGATGCTGCTGCTCATATCTACCGTGTTTATTCTGCTGAACCTACCGAGTCACGCGATCCGCATTCACGTCTTCATAGAGGGGCTGTTCGACCCGGGCTACCGCCTCACGCCACGACTCTTCATCCTCCAGCAGTACTTTCAGCTGATCTACTACACGAACTTCGCCATCAACTTCTTCCTCTACTCGCTCGCCGGAGCCAACTTTCGCAAGGCGCTCAAGATGCTAGAGGAGAAATACGTGTGCTCGTACGGAAACTCTAGCGAACACACGGCGCCCCTGCCGATGCCCGTGCAGATGGCGCCACCGTCGCGCGCCTCAGGCAGCAACAGTCGCAGCAGGAGCAAGGGCAGTCGCAGCAACTCATATAACTCGGGGCCCGGGTGAGAGAGAGAGCGAGGAACGCGGCTGCCCTGGCTGAACCTTGATCGCTCGCTCTCAGACGTACGCTAGTGTGATTATATCGACAGAATCTTGTGCTGTTAAGTGGTTGAATATTTCGCGGTAATGTGCACACGCGCACACGCACACACGCACGCACACGCGCACGCACACTCGTACGCACACTCGCACGCACACGCACACACACGCGCGCACGCACGCACGCACGCACACACACACACACACTTGCCGATCGGCAGTCTTGTCAAGCACGCCACCTGCAGGGATTCGCGGCTTCAGTTACATCCAAAACTCATATAGCGCCATAGGTCATAGGCCATAGGTCATAGGTCATAGGTCATAGGCCTACGGCGCTATATGATCTTTGGTTACATCAAAGTGTTTTTACCGCCATCTATTGATTCCTTTTAAATCAAGCGACTTTTATCGAAAGTTTTTTTTATTTATCGGCGTACGCAGAAAGCAAATATTTCCCGTTCCTACAAAAACCGCTCTCGTATTTTTCCCCACGCCACTTCGTCTAACATTTGAAGTATATTAATCAGACGTCCTAGTTTGAAACCGTCTATATAATAAACACTCGATCAGCGCTCTTCAATCTCCACGTCCCTCGCGCGTGCAGGGCGAGGATTCGTGCTGAGCTCTCACTCTGTGTTTATCTAGTAACGACGCGGCGTTAACGACGAGAGCTCGGTGAGAGAGGGATACTAATCAGGAGACTAATGTGTATGAGCATCTGCTGGTTATTCCTATGAAGCCATGCATGCGTGTGGGTGGTTCGCGCACGCCCACGCATCTCTCTCTCTCTCTCTCTCTCTCTCTCTCTGCCGGTCGGTGGATGGATATTTTGTTGCACAGTTGGTGCAGAGCAGCAAGGGTTCAATACAGCGTGCGTGTGTGCGTGTGTGTGTGTGTGTGTATATTGATATTTGTATTGATATTGATATTGATATCGTAATTAAATTTTATTTCAATACATCTATATTTTCTGACATTACTAAATTGAGACACATGCATGAACATAATAACGCTACATATACAAATATTCACCTACCTAGATATCATCAAGAGCTAACATTACCTTAGGGTTAGGGTATAATATTATTAGGTATTATTAGCTCTTGATATTATGAAACATGAGTGTTTAGGCATTGCGAGAGTGAGAGTAGAACGACTCGTAAGCGCACAACACTGTAGTGCGAGAAATATTGCATTCAGTCGAAAAACACGAGCGCACCGACCATGTTCGCTATATAATACCATAGCCATTGTTAGAACCATAGAAATATATAGAGACGCATAGAGTCTATTATTCTATTATCTCACATATATCTAGATATTGTGTCTATGGTTAGAACACGCTGCAGTGAATGCAGACCTGACGTCGAATAACGGGCCACGGGAAAAAACGCTAACTAAAGTAGTTACAAGTAGTTACAGTGTCATAACCGCAATGCTAGCCATGCAGGATAGATGACATCATAAAGCACACAGAGTAAATAGATACAGCTCCACCCACGTCGCTATATTGTCAAGGTATTATATATATATACCCGGCTGGACCGTAGCTGCGTGTTTCCCTAATTGAAATTGTCTCGTCAGGTTTTCGAGTCTGAAAAAGTTCATATGTAAGAAACGTTAAAAGATTGTGATATATCCTTGGTAACTCGTAAAACGTTTAGAAATTTTACTCACCTAAACCTCTATCTGTGATACTGTGCAAGAAGAATCGTCTTTAGGTTTTTGTAAAGGTGCAGACAGTGTCTCTGTGTGACCTTTAGCTAATGGATAGAACTAACATGTACAATGATAGAAAGGCAGAAGACATGAGATGGATTGAGAAGCGAAGAGAATTGCGATGAGGTGAAACAGGATGAAACGAGAAATGAGATTAAATGAGACGATCAGACAACATGAGATGAAATGAGATAGAATGGGATGAGATAGGATGAGATGAGATAAGATCAGATCAGATAGGTTGTTATGAGATGTTATAAGAAGGGATGAGATGGCATGAAACCATCTATGATCTTATTACCTCCGCCAAGGGGTTGGCAGGAGGTTATGTTTTCACCGGCGTGTGTTTGTTCGTTTGTGGGTTTGTAACACCGTTCTTTGTGTACAGCCTAACTAAAAAAGTTATGGACGGATTGTCATAATATAGAGAGAGAGAGAGAGAGAACGCGCCCCCGATTGCAGAGTGGAGTGCTGTCATATAATAAGGCGATTGATCGTCGTCGTCGTCATCATCACCATCATCATCATCATCATCATCATCATCATCACCATCATCATCATCATCATCATCATCACCATCATCATCATCATCATCATCATCATCATCATCATCATCATCATCATCATCATCATCATCATCATTATTATCATCAACATTATTGTCATCATCATCAAGGTGAACACGGGCGAAATTATGTTCCTTCAATACTGATTGCGAAGCTCCATAAGCAGTAGTTAATAACGCTGCGGCTAACACCAAAGCTGCGCGCGCGCACACACACGCACGCACGCACGCACGCGCACGCACGCACGCACGCACACACACACACCGCTGTGCATACAGTTGCACCTATGAAAACCTACGAAAGCTTCAACGAATAAGATCCTAAACCGGCTGAAAATCATGTCATTCGCTCAATCGCGTTTATTGGAGGGAATGATTGTTTTCGTCGGATAGGAGATAATTGGAATGTTAATATCAAAGGCTCTCGCCTGTTAGATTACCAATAGTAGGTTGGGGAAATTACACGTGTTTATCATGCTGTTATACGCATGCGTGGAACAGCCGCACACACGCGTGCGCGGACACAGACAAAGACCCGCTCGCACACACACACACACACACACACACACACACACACACACACACACACACACACACACACACACACACAAGCACACAAACACAAACACACCACACGCTCACACA